CCCCAAAACCCCAAAACCCCAAAACCCCACAATGAAATATCTGCATATTGATTTGAATTATGAAATCAAAATTATCATTGAAAATAGTATCATATTTTACTCAATTAAAACTGAGTGCAGCATTCATTATTCGGGTCTGATAAGCTTATCACTTAGTTCTTGATTGTCTATATTTAAAGCTTTTTCCTCAAGGACTCTGTTGTTTTGTGACAGTACTTTAGTTAGCATTCCATCTAATTTCTTAAATTTCATAATAGTCTTATGATTATCTATTTGCTAATTGGCGAATTTCTGAAATATTTGCTCGAGTGTAGTCTGACTGGCAGAATACTCAGAAATCTTGAAAGAATCCTTCTTATTCTCAATGAAACTAAATATAAATCCTATAGTTTTGGATTCTCTTGGCACTCTTAGTTTATAGTAGTCATTGTAATGTTCTAAAATTTCAACTTCTGAAAAATACTGGCTCAATCCATCTAAAATATTTATTCCGGCTTATTCAATATAGAGCCAATTGAGGAAATTCTTAACAGATACTGTTCCCATATATTCCTATGCTTCCTTCACTAAGTCTTAACCTAATCCATTTTCATCAAGTTCATTTATTACAGATTCATCCACCATTTTGCTTCTCATTAACTCAGGAAGTCTTGAAAATTCTACTCTGTCTTAACTATATAGTCCATATAATTCTCTCTTCATATTTAAATCTTCTTATGTCAGTTTTCTAACTTTTACTTCGATCTCATATCCAGTTCCAAATTTATTCTTGATATGCTGACTAGAACCGAAGCATCTAAAAACACCTCCTCTGACCATTATTCCCATTTTAGTTGATAATGCTTCTGCTTCTTCCATTGAATGAGTAGTAAGTATAACAGCACTCTGCTGTCTTTATTAAGATATTTTAGAAACTACAGTCCACATAAATCTTCTGGCTTCTGGGTCCATTCCAGCAGATGGCTCATCTAAAAGAATTATTGGAGGATTTCCTATAACACACATTGCTACTGATAATTTTCTCTTATTTCCACCTGACAATGTTCCAGCTAGCTTCATTCTATGATCTTATAAACTCATCTCAACTATCTGCTATTCAATAAGTTGCACTCTTAAATCAGATCTTATTCCTTTTATTTTAGCATAGAATTAGAGGTGCTCCTCCACTGACATTTAATCGAATATTGCATCATGTTGAGGGCAATATCCTATCTATTTTCTTATTTTTGCAAAATCCCTTCCAATATCCATTCCATTAATAGTTATTTCACCATTTGTTGGCTAAATTTCTCCAGTTAAACTTTTGAAAGTAGTGGTCTTTCCTGCACCATTAACTCCTAAAAGTGCAAAACATTCTCCATAATCTAAACCAAAGGAAGTTCTTTCTACTGCTAAGAAGGGCTTTTGCATGAATCTAGCATATACTTTTCTGAACTTCTTAACTCTTACTCTTATACTCCCACTATTACTTTCTTCTATTCTCTCTTCTTCATCAATGACATCTGAATCTAGTTCCAAATTCTAAATAGGCTTCAGCCTTGAACCAATAATTTTATCATATATCTTAGGAATCCATCTGAAAATTCTCAATTCAATGATAATCAAGACTATAGTCCAAAAAAAGAAGTGGCCGCCCATTACGTAGACATTTGCTCCTACGGCTTAGAATTCAAAGTCTTCTAAATTTAACTCAGGTCTTTTTATAAATAGTTGGGATTTTACTGTCTAGTACATAATTGAATCAGTCAGACAAAATGAAGGGAATATCTTTAAAGCCCATCTCAATTAGTCTCCAATGCTATATGTTGATTCAATAATTCTTAATATTCCAACTAAAATAGCTCCTATTCCTCCTCCAAAAAAATGCAAAAATATGGTGACTGTTTAAGCCATGTTTTCATTATTAAAGAAAAATGATGTTGCATATGTAAAAGGAATGACGGCAAATGGATACAATAATAGAAGAATCCAAACTTAAGGATACTAAAAATCAATTAATACTATTATGGACTTACATCAACTCCAAAAGTGTACATAAGACCAACTACTATTCCTGAGGGAATCAATGATTTGATTATATCGAATGTGAAATTGCAAAGCCAGTATGCAGGTAAACTCATACCACTTATGATTTGCATGTGTTTTAGATTCTTTTCTCTTTCATGGACAATGAAACTTATAACAGAAGCTGGTATTAAGGCAAAGCCAATAGAAATCACAAAAACAATAAATATTCCATTTACCTATGCACTTCTTTTGCTTAGATTGTATGTAACTGGAAAAGCCTAGGTTGATACTTCAAATTTGTAGTTTGGGTTATTTGAAGCAAGTTTTAGAATTGACTCATAGAGGAATTGAGGATAAAGAGCTGAGGCATCCTAAGATTTTAAGTTAAGTTATGATGCAATTCTGAACTGCATTTTTGTTTTATCAGCTTGATAGACAAAGTATGATCCATAGCTAATAGGTTCTTTAGGAGATTAAATGCTTTAGTCATAAATATCTGCATCAAATTTCTTTACAAATACCTTTTCACCATCTTCTGTTGTTGTATCCAATTAAGAGTAGTCTTTATATGTGATTTCATATTAGTCACTTCCTCCAGGAAGAGATTACATTATCTATTTTGGAGAGAAATCATTACCACTAGCTCTGATCAGATTTGAGTTAACTACCAATCTTTATGGCGCTGGGAAAGCATCATATGATAAAGTTCTCTCAGGTGAGTTAATAAAAAACTGAATTTTTGAGAAACCAAATCCTAGAATAACCAGAGCAACAGGAACAAATATTTCACTGATCAGGCTTTTGTAATTTCTTTTATAAAGAATAAACCTCTTCTTAAATAAAGCACCAATATGCAAAAAGAACAATGAGCATATACCCATTGATTTATCATTAGCAATAGAATAATCATTCCGTTTCGCTTCATTTTCTAAGTTAGATCTAGATCTTCTTAGCTCATCTATAACCTGCTTATTATCTTCTGTATCATCACCATGTCCAACTTTTAAAAATACTTCTTCTAAAGTAGTAACAGAGATTCCATAACTTCTTATGTTTAATTTATCAAGATCATAATCGAATTCATTAAAAAAGTCCTTAAATTTGACTGAGTACTGCTATGGAATTTGAAAAGTCACTTCACTTGAAATCTCCGAGAGCTTTTTACAATAGCCTAATTTTTCTTCAAGGTATTGTGATATCAAAATATCTTACGACTGATTTTTCTTTACTATTGTAAGATTATAACCAACTCCAAATCTATTCTTAAGAAATAAGGAACTCCCAAGACATATTAGTTTACCCCCTGTCATTATGCCAATTCTATCTCCTAAAATATCTGCCTCATCCATATAATGAGTTGTCAAAATAATAATTCTATTTTGCTTATAGCTCTTTAGCATATTCCATAATTTTCTTCTAGCACTTAAATCCATTCCAGCTGTAGGCTCATCTAGAAGTACTAGTCTAGAGCCACCAATCATTGCTATTGCAACAGATAGTTTTCTTTTGTTTCCTCCAGATAGATTTCTTGCCTCTTTATCCTTATGTTAATAAACATCACAGTCTAAAAGCATCTTTTAAATTTCTTCTTTCTTAGTTTAGGATGATACACCCTTGAAATCAGAAAATATGTCTAAGTGCTCCTCTGGAGTTAGAAGATCAAACAAAATATCGTGCTAAGGGCAGACTCCTAGAAATTATCTTACATAATCTATGTCATCAAACATATCATATCCAAAGACTTCACAATTTCCAAGTGTAGATGAAATTAATCCAGTAAGCATAGATATTGTTGTGCTCTTACCAGCACCATTATGGCCTAGCAACGCAAAAATTTAGCCATTATACATTTTGATGTTAAGACCTTTTACTGCTGAAAAACCATTTTTATAAGTCTTCTGAAGATTTTATATCTTTAATATCTTTTATTGAGTTTCTTGCTAATGAGCGAACCCACTATTAACAGGCTCATAATTCAGAGGATTCATACCTCTACTCTCAAATTCTTGATCATTTACAACTAATGATTATCTAGGACTTCTGTGTGATCCCAGATATAATCCATTATTATTCTACTGATCATTTGCATTCATCGTTTAGAAGTTTGGAAGTGGGTTGTCTTACAGGTCAACTGATTTATTAATACTCCTCTCAAGCTCTTTAGATTCACTGATATCAAAGTTATTCTTTGCATACACATCACTTGATTCATTGAGAATTTAATTCATTCTGGTCTTCTTCCTTGTTCCACACCAATATTTTCTTGTGACTGGATAGTACCAATCTTTTCTTAATCCATCAGCTGTTGTAGGTAAAACATTTGTTAAATAAATTCCAGTCAAAAAACTTAAAACCAGTCCAACTCCAAACATGTAATAGCATGTTAATACTTTGTAGTTATTATATACCTCTACCATATTGCTAGTTTAGAGTCCAACCTTTGCTTTCTCAAAACTAGAAATACTATCAATAGCTCTTGACATAGCAATTGTTGGTAGTATTGATGCTAATATCTTCCTGTATTCCTCAAGATAATTACTCTTAACTGCATAGTCAGCAAAACTCGTAAAGAAGTAAATTAAAATACTAATGATGGATGCTGTTCTTGGAGTGGTGAAGAATGATTGAATAAATACTATGTATCCAAATAAAGATATGCCAAAACCCCAAAAGAATAAAAATATGAGTCCCCAGCTGCTATATGAAAACACACTTGAGCAAATGATACCAGTTGAAACCAGAGAAATTATAGTCACTACTATTGAATAAAAGATGAACCAAGAAAGCCAATAGTTGAAATCAGAAAGTCCCATCATTCTCATCACCTCTCTAATCTTAGTCTACTTCTCTGACACTATTCTCATTATCATCCTGTACATTGGCATGATATACATAAGAGTAACGCAGATAGGCATCAAGAAACTGATGACAAAATCAAATGAGTCTATTTCTGACTCGCCGATTTTCATTTGCATGACCAAACTTACTATAGTTGCATCTTATATTCCAGTCACTTCTCTCAAAACTGCATTTGCTAGCCAATTGTGAAAGTATGTATAGAAGTACTTATTGTACATCGAGAATTCAGTTATCTTAGCTTCAGTATTGTATTTGTCTGCAGCAGGATCACTTTAAGAAGGTATGGTTTTTCTGTCATCTAGCAACTAATCAGTCATATGAATCTTAAAACTATGTCCTTCTCCATTTGGTTTTGGATAGTGAGAAATACCAGCACACAAACCAGGTCTATATTAATCTTTTTCATAATCTGGATGTGCAACATATTCGAGCATCTGTTCTTCTGAGTCAAAGTAAAGAACATTGAAATTGTAGATCTAGTTCTCATAAGCATATCTACCAGTAGTCGAGTAGTCTAGCTAAAACATCCAGATTTTAAGTTGTCTTTCGATCATTTCTGTATAGTTATCTTTGGGAAATAGACCTATATAACTTCTTAGTGGAGCTCTCTTAATACATGGACTTGGATCAATAACATTTCTTGCCCCAGCTTGATACCCCAGAAAGGAGTAGTTATCCTCTTCATACTATATCGCTTCATCAGCTGTTTTGCCTTTTCCATAGTAAAAAGGGTACATCATGAAATTAACCTTAGGAAACTTCAATTCTTCTTCAAATACTGGTCCAACTATTGCCCATTACTCATCTGTCATTTGTGCTCTCAAAGGTGTCACTATTTTCTCATAATAGAAATCTTACTCTGACTTATATGCTATGAAAAAATTATTGGAATTTTGGAGAAATAGATTTCAGTAGTAATTATATGAGTTTACTTTTGGAAATTTGAATTCTTGCCATGAGAATTAAACCCATTAGAATTATCGGAAATGCAATTTCAGCAATTGAAATCAAATATTGGCGTTTCCAATAAATCCAATTTTTCTTCAGGAGTGCTCTTAAATGTTTTGTATTGCAGCAAGCCATTATTCAAAACCGATCAATTTAATTTATAAAATACTATTCTAATACAAATTATTAATTGAAAATTAAGAAATAATTTAAATCATGAAAATTCAATTTCAACTCAACATTGCAAGAAGGGGTTTTGGGGTTTTGGGGTTTTGGGG